TCCATTAAGGGTTATCAGAAATAACAACATAACTATTACAAACTATATCTACTAAACCCAATTTGAATCCTTCCTTTTATATTTATATCTTCTTTTCTATTTAAACATATCCCCCCCCCCATTTCCTCTCTTCAAATAAAATCTTTAAAACATCATCATCCAGTCCTGATCAGTAAAAATCCATTAAACATTACCAAAAATAGCAACCACTTTATTTGAACCTTGATCAAATAAACCAATTTTGTATTCTTTTTCTTTCTCCCAGCAATCTTTAGTTCTCTCAAACGAAGTCCTAACATCTGCTTTCTCATACTCTCTTTGTCTCTTCTCTCAGAATCGTTGGCTTCTTTAACAAGCCCCTTTTGTAATTCCAGTATGAAAAAGTCATCCATGTCACTATCCATATTATCACTGTCCCTTCTCATGAAATCTTTGACACCTTCAACAAGTTCTTTTTGTAAATCCAATGTAGAGAAGTTATTCACATCACTCTTCCGAAAGATTTGTGTGTCTTTTTTAATTATTAAATCATCAGCCAGTTTCATTAGTAAATCTATTATTTCCATCTCTTTCTTACAGGGCATCATTTTTAAATCCACATTCAAATTGATTTCAATTTTATTCAATGAACTTGTTCCTCTTCAGTAACACCTTCTAATTTTTCTGTAATAGCAGATAACTTTATAATCAATTCCTGAGCCCATTCATCATAGATCTCTCTTAAAGAAGCCATTGATGCATTTATTTCCTTCTAGTGCCCTCTAGTGTCTAACCTTCAAAGTCATCTCATCAGTTGTCTCCAAATATAAACATAGACAATTTCCCACAGGAAGGATTCTTTTAATTAACTTCAAAGTCTTAAATCAATCTGAGCCTTGAATCCATTTAAAACTTTCTAAAACCAACCCTAATCATCCTTTTGTGTATTATTCAAAAAAAAAATTTTTTTTTACAAATCTTTAAACTCATTGTTAGAATTTCTTTCTTAAAGGATTAAAGAAAACTCATCCAGTGAATTCAATAAAACGTGCAGTTCTGAAGGTTCTTAATCTTTAAGAAGCAGTAAAAAAAAATAAATCCAAAGTGATTAAGAGGTGAGCCTCAGTTGAACCTAGAGTCCATATAGGCTACATTAATGGCTGTAAGCTCAATGGAATCCCGCAACTCCCAGCCAATCGCAAGCTGACCACAAAAATGTCACTTCATACCGTCTGCTCACAAAAAACAGCTGTCCAGAGTACGTATGGATAATCTTGACATCTCTCCTTTTTCTGGAGAGATTTTGGTGGTCTGGATCTAGCATTTGGACACTGTTTTCAGCCATAAAGTTGTCCCTCTATTTAGGGATGTCAGTTTGCCATGGTGCTTGCCAGAAGTCTCTCTTTTTTGTTCCTGTCTTGTAGCCATTGCTGCCTTGCATCATTGGCAAGTGTCCAAAAGTGTTGGGTTCCAGACTCTAAAATACCAACTAATCATAATTCTAAAGTTCTAAAATTACTAATGCTTATACAGGGAATTAAAATTACTAATTTATATTAAATAAAACCACTAAGTATTTATATATATAAAACTAAATAAAAGAATAACTAAAATAGAGTTAAGAGCTCACTAAAAATACTGTCATTCTGTGGCCATGTTGCCCCCCCCCCAAAATATATTAAATTATTACACTGAACGTCTGGTAGAAATTCAGTTTTTAACTTTTGGAATTCAACATCTACTTTGGTTGCTAAATGCATATTTCTGGTTCACCAGTACCATTATCATTATCATAACTTAAAAGCAAACATCCATCCTAACTTAAAATAGTAGTTCCTTCCAGAGACAAAATTATTTGGTCCCTTTAATAGAAGAAGATGCTGAATTATGTTTTTCTTACTTTTCCCACATCACAGCGAAATGAAATACATCACAAATTACTAAAATAAACACTTTGGTGAGATAGGGAAAACATGATTGCCAGGCTTGTAATTGCAGGTTATCTTAACAAAATTGGGGGTGGGAATGAACTTTTAGGTTGACCATAGGCCTTCAGATTGGTAAGTCAGGTGGAATATATACCTGCCAAACATCTAAGCAACCTTCAGGAAGAGTAGCTTTCTTTTTCTTATTTATGGGTTTCTGAGAAGTATCTCACTAGTAACTGTTGAAAAGAAAAATGTTGGCATAGATAAATCCTCAGTTTGGTCCAGTAGATTCCCAGTTTAGGGTGGAAACAATTTTTTTTCTGTCATGGGTGAGAAAAAGTACCAAACTAACAAAAACGAAATAGATTCTTTCTTGGTGAATTAGCTCAACCTTCTCATTTGCTTTTGGCTTCACTTCTATAGACCATCTTATCCAAACGATTTCATGACATTTTAAGACATTGCATGTGATTCTACATAAGATTTCTCACAATAAGGAAGAATTGTTGAAAATTTATTTCACATTTTTTATGGCAAGATGAGTAGAAAAGAAGAAATTTTACAGATTTCCTGTGGCAATAGTCATGGTGTTGGGATAACTAAGTGCTCACCCATTCAAAACTTCTAGAGTTTTAAAAGAAAAAGGCCAGGATATATGATCAAGGAGGCACATGTGGCCTGTCAGCGTTCCTATTATAGATTCCAGAATCTTGTGGCCTCACCTCACCTTATCCCGATTTGGAGATTTTGAGCAAAAATGAGTGACTTAAGCCTTGTGGTTGATTAAGACACCCACTTCATCTCTTAAAATTCCTAAAGCCTTTCTTAAAATACAGTTTGCCCACTTTCTGAAGGGAGGTCCTAGACATGCCATGCAATGCTTTGGTGTAGCCTTTGTCAGTCATAATACCATTTCATAAGTAACATTCTCAGTCATTAATATGTTATCCTGGTTTTAACTTATAGAATGGAAACCCACAAAATCCTTATTGCAGTGGAATTGATGGCGTAATGGAAGCATATTATATGAGTTTAAAATCTGTACAGCTTTATGGACCAACAAACTTTGCTCCAGTTATTAATCATGTAGCAAGGTAATGATTATGTTTAATATACAGTACTGAAACCTTATATAATAATATTCAAGGTTTTTTTAATGTAGTCTTCTTTGATGTGGAAAGAACTACATCATTTTTTTTTTTGCGTTCAGAATAAATATTCTGCCATTATTACATACTGCACTTTCTTTAGACTTTGTTTATCCCTCTTGACTCTTTTAATGTGAAGATCCATTTGTGTTTTTAGGGTTGTTGTTGTTTTTTAGATTTTTTTTATCCTGCCTTTATTATTTTTATAAATAACTCAAAGCAGTGAACATACATAATACTCCTTCCTCCTCTTATTTTCCTGTTCATGAATGTTTCTGCCAGGAACTAATTGCACATGAAGCAGAAACTGTGTTTTTGGGGGGTCTGGTTTTTTTTAACACAAAATAAACACATCAGACATTCTGCCTTCCAAATCAGCTGTGGTTAAACAGAAATAAAATCTTGGAATTTTTAGTTATTCTGGATTTTGGCCTAAACAAAAATCAGGGATTACAGAGTGGTTTTATGGGTGACCAGTAAAGGGGTATGCTCTCCCTTTTCTTCTCTCACATTCTATCAGCCGTCTATCCCTTCAATCATCCAAGTGTTTTCCCTCTGCTCCCTCCCCTTAGCTGCCAATGCCAATGTTCTTGGTTTTTTGCTGTTTTTACCTCCAAACATAGAAACAAAACACTTCTGTTCAAAACATCTAGAGCAGTGCTGTGCACAGAATGATTCATACATGAACTGTTTTGTGGATCCATAGAATCATTTGCTAGCATTTCAACCACTATTAGCTTATTTTCACAGTACAAACTGAATGAAGCAAGAGTTCATATTTGAAAAAAAAAATAGTATTTTTACCCTCTAAGCACTGATAGTCATCCCCAAACTGAAGTTTATTTTCAGGAATGTGAGACCTGTTTTCTCCATTCTTAGGAATCAAATTTTGCCCATTGGGAATTCTGAGAAATACTTCCAAGTTTTCATACTGAAGTTTAACCATAATGTAATCTTAGGGTGGAAATCAAACCATTATACAGATGTGTGGATTTTCTGAAGAGCTGAATACAAGATTGGATGGAAAAATCAAAATCAAAACAACATGTGATAGCTAACAAAATAATACATGACCCACCAGCTTTTAACTATGATGGATATGTATACACTCACTCCTATCCTAGGGCATTGTTTCAAATGTATTGATGTTGTATTGGCTGTTTTAATGATAATATTTGTTTTCTGAGTTCTGAGCTAATTTTATTGGATTGATTTGTAATTATTGTGTTGTGGAAATTTTATTTTGTACCACATCTTGGCAAAGATGTGTAATAAATATTTGCAGATGATGATGATGATGATGATTTGCTCTCCATCCATCATATTATATGCTATTATCAATGTAAATCACAGATCTCCTGTCTTTACAGAGTTAAGCTTGGTTCCTAGGCTAAGACTCTAGCAGAAGTCTCTCAGACACAGTTCAATTCAATTAAGAAACAAGAATGAAGCCAAATGCAGCAGTTGATTGCTCACTGCCAGTGTGGGATATAAGCAACTCATAAAGCCACAGTGGTTCAGACCCATAGCTTTTTCTTCCCACACTTCCCACAAATTAACAGACTCTCTGCATAGCACTTGGTGGCCTTGACCGTGAGCCATTGTTGAGTGTTACATAACTGCCAACTCTGGCTTGAGAATTGCTGGCTCTCTTATTTCTTACGTCTTAGTTCTCACATACTGTATGTACTATTAGAAGCAGCTCTCGATAAATGTAATTGACAAATTATACTAACTCAAGAAGAATGAGTCAATCTATTTTTTAAATATTCCATAGTATAATCAAACATGTTTAATCTTTCTATATTGTCCTTGCAGTCTTTCCAACTTAGAGCTATCTTCTGATGCCATGCTACAAATCAGTTTATCCTGTAATAATTAGTGCTCTAACTATATAAATACTTATATAATTGTCAGCTCAAGATGAATTTGATAAATACCCATTAGAGCATCTTAAGATGTCATAGTGAATAAGCAGACAATAGTTATTTTCTACCTAAACGCGCACACACACATAACAAATATAGACTCTCCTCCCTCTGCATATGACCAAGGGGCTCTTGCTATCATCTTCTCAGTTCCTTTCTGCTGTGGCAGCTGCATCTGCCAGAATGTCCTCCAAGCCTTTGCAAATTTTTCTTAAGTATACTTTTTGGTAATATATAAAGTGAGGCTGTAAATTGGGTCCCTCCTGCATATGCCTTTTTGATGGAAGGGCAAAGTGATGATTATTGAACCTATGGCCAACCTTTAGAAAACCAAATAGTAATCATTTATCTCTCCTTCTGACAGTACTTTGGAACAAGTCTTTAAAAATGCAGAGTAATCAAGTACCAGTAAAACACCAGCCCAGTGATCATCAACACCATGTCCTCAATTTATCCATTAACTTAGGAAACAGATCCCTTCATCCCAACATTGAAGATCACAAATCATAACCTCCGTTTTAGCTTTGAGATGATTAAAAATTTGATTCTGACAGACTTAGTATGAAGGGACTTCATTTTTTACAACCAATAGTGCAAACATTTGATTTTTGGACCAACATTTCCTATGCCTTTTCCAAAGTTAAGCCCAAATTGACTGCATTTCTGGCATACTTACCTGACACCCAGGTATTAGCCACTGACTTTCAAAATAAGGCTTTGAGGCTAGCTTTATTTGCCAAGTATCTTGTTGATTGCACACCTAAAATTCTGGCAGAGAGGGATAACCTAACATTCTTGGTTTCATTCATTGGGCCTATGTAAAGATGTTCATAATAGGACTAAAGAGCTCCCATTTGCCTTAGACATAAGTGTTTAAGGAACTGTTTCTACAGGTAGTCCTTGCTTAACAACCACAATTGGCACCGGAATTTAGGTCGCTAAGCAATGCAGTTAAGCAAATCATCATGTGACCAGACCCAATTTTACCACCTTTTTTGTGGCTGTCATTAAGCAAACCAGTCATTAAGTGAATCACATGGTTGTTAAGCAAATTACCCAGTTATTAAGTGAATCACACAGTTCCCCATTGACTTTGCTTGCCGGAAGCTGGCTGGGAAGGTCCAAATGGTGATCACATGACCCCAGGATGCTACAACCGTCGTAGCATCCAAGTGCCCAGATCACATGACTGCAGGGGTGCTGCAACGGTCATAACTTCAGGCACTGGCTATAAGTCACTCTTTTTAGTGTTGTCGTAAGTTCAAACGGTCACTAAACAAATTGTTATTAGGTGAGGACTACCTGTACTGTGCTGTCCACTTCATGCAATTAGCCTTCTATCTATGTATATCTTCATTTAGTGTAAAGTTAATTTCTAGTGGTCCAAAGCTTTTAGTAATGGTATATTAGGCAAATGGTTACTATCAGGTCTGTCAGTATAAAATTCTAACAGAAGTATCTTTTTCTATATAGAAGATTGACTTCTTGTCCTTCCCACACTATTGCCCATTTGGATGCCGCCACAATTCATGTATAAACTTCAAAAAGCTCTCAGCATATCTGAGGGGCTCCTCACAGACCAGGTTGTACAAGCAGTGATGCACTACAATGTTTGAACAAGGAAAAGGGCATCCAGAGATGGCATGTCCATCATACTGATCACCCCAATTACTGGCTCTACTCCCTATTCTTGATATGTCCTAGAGGTTATAGCAAAGCCTCTCTTCAAATCTGAACTTCCTCCAGTACAAACAATCTGTTAAGATACCTTTACATTTACCCCCTCTGTCTCCCAGCACAGAGGGTCTCTCCCTCCCAAGTATAAGATTGGATATTTGAACTATATTGGAATTGGCCAAAAAGCCCACCATGGGTAGTGAACCAGAATATTTTTTTTCTTTTTGGACATCAGTGATAAATGGATCTATTATAACTATTATGTATTATTTATTATCCATTTTAGCAGTCTGTTTTCTAATTCTTGTTCTCTCTTCGCTTTAATGGGTTAAATATTTTGTCTTTAAAAATTTATCTAACTGCCCTTGCAGCCTTCTATGAATAATATACAAGTACAATTTTTATGGCTTTTCTCATCTATTGATTAAGAAGTTTCTGAGGGTATTAATGAATTCTTTCCTAAAAGCCCATGTATTGTTTATCTATTCCAATGGCTTAACCCAGAAATATTTCAAGCTTTTGGTTTGGACCACAAGCTTCTCTCTGTGAAATGGTCACATCTGCCCTGGTGGCTAGCCAGCTAGGCCACTTTCTAAGTAGATCAACCATATATTTTTTTCACAAAGACAAGGATGTTCTTAGTCCTGATGTCACTTTCCTGCCAGAGGTGGAAATTCTTTCACCTCATCCAGAAATGGATGTCTACATGTTTTATTTCCATTCCCATTTATATTCCATCTATTGTTTATTGGGAGTGCTGAAGCAGAGCTCCCCAATGTCATCTCAATATATTGCTGCAATATATATCCTGAATTACTGACACCATCTATTTGGCCTATGATCTTGCTGGGCTTTTAACTGCCTCCCACACCGCAAGTAGATGGTGTGCGTTCCACCCATGCTGTTAAAACATCTGCTGTTTTCTTCAAAGGAGCACCACTATCAAATATTTGCAGATCAGCTGTCTGTTATCAGATTTCAATCTTTATACAGCACTGCAAGCCAGACATTTCTGCACATATGGATGCTAGCTTTGGCAGGGTGGCTCTTTTCTTGATGCTTCAGTGAGTGTCTGCCCTTCTAGGTATAAATATTGCTTGGGGTACTTACTTATTTGTGTCATGTGCACAGATGATAATGAAGAACAGGTTGCTTTGCATTCATATACTGTATCCCACTTTCCATGCCCATACAGGTAAGGTAAGGAGGGTTGGCAGTTGTTTTATTTCTATCTGTTCAAGGAATTAAGGAGAAGACAACTGTGAAAGTAGGACAGGTTATACTGTTCACCTGAAAAGAAGAAGCTGGCAAAATCCAAATAATGATTTATGAAGGCACAGACTCCTAGTTGTGCAAATGTACAGATGAATGTTCAAAGAACCACCTGATTTTTGCTTTTAAAAACGTTGGGTGTTTCTAGTTTTTTTTCAGTATTAATTAGATTAAGATTTAAAAGCATTCTAAATAGTTTTTTTAATATTAAAATGTGAGGGGTTCTTTTTTGTTTTTTAGATATGCTGCCTCAATAAAAGATGGGTCCCAGTATTTTGTTCTTCTCATTATTACAGATGGAGTCATTTCTGATATGGCTCAGACAAAGGAATCCATAGTGAACGTAAGTTATGTTTTGAGACAGGATCTTTTTTGCGGAAATGGTACAGACCACAGACAAGAAGCAAAATTTTGTCTCCCTTTGTGGCAGGGAAGAATTTATGGTATAAAAATAACCATTTCTTTTTAAACAAAATGGAGGATATCCTCCTGTTTTCTAAATCTTATGTCTCTGTATGTCAATTTCTAAATCTTATTTACTGTGTTTCTAATTCTTTGAGTGCATTACTCTGCTGTATTTATCGTTTCAGTGAATTTCCATAAAGTTCTTTTTCTCCTCTTCCCTCTTTTACAGGCAGGCTTGAATTGCCTACGCCTGTGTTATTTATTAGGGCTTAAGTAGCCCTGTTTTTAGCCTCTCTCCCAGCTGTGCAGTGTGGAGATACTTTCTTCCCTCCTTGGCCTTATATCTAGTCCCTCTTTAGTCACCCCAGGCTTGGTGGCTTGGCTGGCTGGCGTTTTCTGGGCCTTTTGGCCTGTTATCCTTTGCCTCTGGCCTGAGCCGCTGCTAGGACTTTGGCGTCTCTCAGTTCCCGACTGGGAGAGGAAATTTGCTACCAGCAGTAGCTGGCTGCTGTACACGTAGTTGGTGTGACTGCTTGGCTTCACAGTTGCTCCTGCCCCTCTTGACTGCAGGCCCTCGGAAAAAGCTCCCACCTCCTCATGCCTCCAGCTCACCCTCTGGATGCTGGCTTTGTTCTGGGCATCGTTTGGTTTGCTCAGCTCCACATTCCCTGGCTCCAGTGCACATCAACCCAACCTTTCCTATGCTTTGAGCTGGAGCGCAGGCATGGTTTAGCCAGTTTGGCTGCCTCCAAGTCCCTGAGGAAAAGAAAAGAAAAAGGGAAGAAGTGCTCTCACAGACCGCTGTGAGACTCTCTTCCACATATTGAAACTTAAATTAATGAATTTGTAAGTTACAGTTATTAAATGTTGTAGACTGAATCTTTAAAATATCAGAGGCCAACGTTCATATTTGAATACTCTGAGACAACAGAAAACTCATAAATGTCATAGTAGCAACTACATTTTACTATGTTTCAAGAACTAAATGGCCTTTGGAATATATGAGTTCTTATATTTTTTCCAGAAGACCAAAAGAAGAGAATTATTCTGAATTTCATTAGGTTGATCATTTTTTTCCAGCTTGGGGCTACTTGCCACAGATTGCTGACATTTTAGCTAATCTAGTCAAACTAGAAGGTAGTAAAAGAATATCCCCTCACCTTTATTTCCATCATGAAGGAGTTGCCAGTTTCTATTAAGCATTGCACATTTTCAAGGCATTGCTTTCCCCAGTGTCATCCACCTTTTTGTTTCTTTGAACTTACCAGAAAACGTTACCTTTGGTGATAAGAAGCAGTGATAGAAGGGTGAGCCTACAGCTTTCTAGCATTCTCATTAGGAGGCTCCTGCTGTGACGTGAACAAGCTGCTTCCTAGGCAGCAGCTCCATGCACATGCACTCATAAAGGCATGCAGGCATACACTGCTTATTTCATTCTGTCAGATGTTATTGTAGATGAGAGAAAGACCTTGCCCACCAACAGGCCATCTCTTGTGTACTCTTAGCAAATGGAGGCTGAAAGGGGAGGTGGGAACCCCAGTCATCTGTTTATGAAAGAAAGCTCATTCCTTCCATTACCAATTTTTATAAAGTACTTTAAACTACACATGCAGTTGAAAAAGGAAAGCAGATAATGGGTGATATGCATAGTAGAAAAAGAAATTACCCTGGACCCATTCCTGGGCTTCACAAGTATACCTAATCAGGGATGATATTGTTACCTAAGGTCAGAGAGCCAGACAATCTAGAATCAAAGGAATAAGAGGAGAGGTTAATTGTTTAGGAAGTATTAAAAACATATCAACTGAAATCACAGTGGTTAGACCTCACTAAAATATAAATTGTAGCTTATTGCCAGAGACGTATTTCGATATTCAAATCACCAGTAGTTGTAACCTTATGTATTTCAAGACACAGAAGACATTAAAGGAATCTCAGTAGAAAGAAGTTAAAGCAAGCACATAATGGAAAAAAGTAACAGAAGGCCTGAAATTAACTAATTTTCCTCGGTAGCTTGAAATAATCAATTTAGTTTTCCTTTATGTCTAAAACTATTATTTCATTTTCTGATGAACACTTAAAAATACCTTCCATGTTGGCTAATTGATTTAAAATTAAACAATGATTGTTGAAAATAAAACAGATATCTTATTTTAGCTATTTCAGTAAAGTATGACTTTTTAATATTCAGGGATAAAAATTTTAAATATTTTTCGTGTAATATCTGAAATGTAACTGTTTTCATGTGTTTTTCTTCTTTTGAAGGCTGCAAAGCTTCCAATGTCAGTAATAATAGTGGGCGTTGGACCAGCAGAATTTGACGGTGAGTACCTCAGTTAATGTAGCTCCTATTATGTAAAGGGAGGTCTTACACAAATCAGTGGGAGCAATTCTGTATTTTTTTATTTAATAGTTTGTTGTATCTTTCATCTAATAAAATGCAGTGTAATAGAATAATAAAGCAGTGCATGACACTTTTGAAAATGCCCTCTGATATTTAGCTAGTACATAGCTCTTTATGAAGGTTTCTAAAGAGTTACCTTTTTCAAATGATAACATTTTTCTGAAATAAAAAATTGACCTTTTCTTCCCTGACATGCATAAGATTGTATAAGTGTTTTCTTGACATGCCCATGGTTTTTGAGCCAAAAACAGCAGTGTGAAGATCAGAAGAAAGCAAATCCTAACTATTCTACATTATGTACTGTATATTAGAATAAAAATACAAATTAATCCATTTGCTTTTTAAAAAATGACTAAACAATTGTAGTATTCCTATTAATAGGTCTGAAAACTATGTTGATCTAATTGATACTTTATTTATCTCCATATGTTGATATTAAACATCAGTAATACACTTGTTTCTTATTCATGCTACTGCTAAGCTATTAATAATCTTTATTCTTTACATTTTGTCTCTCCTCCCACCTTTTTCTGCAAAAAAACTGAGCAAGAATATTTCAACCAGAACATCCAGTGTCTTAGTTCTCAAATTTGCCCTAAGCTTTAAATGTGGCTAATTAGTATTAGATTAGCAATACGTCATGATTCCCATGCACCATGGTTACCAGGGTTTATGGATTAGCATTCTACATGCAATTGGTCCGCCCCCAGCGCCTGATGGACCCGTCAGGGTTTCAGAGGGAGCTGGGGGATATTCCCATGGACCTGCTGCATGGTCCAGCAGAGGCCCTGGCTGCTGCCTGGAATAGAGAAGTGGCCGGGGCCTTGGACAGGATCGCGCCTTTGTAGCCTCTCTTGCCACGTCGGCCCCGACACTCCCCGTGGTTTACGGAGGAGTTGAGGGTGCTGAAGAGGGTTA